TGCACTTCTGCCCAAATTTATTATTTAACCACTGCACAACTTTTTGCGCGAAATGAGCCGGACATCCATCCTGTTGAAAATAACAGCTAGTCAAGCTCGTCAAGCCTATCATCCAAAAAGTTTTGAAGCATTGCCAACCCTGCTTTAAATACCCCATAAAGACACACTGAAAGAAATTTGTTGCTAAAAGTAAATACAAATTTATACTAAAAATTTTATACTAGTGCTTTACACATTTATACTACTGTTTATTATGAATGTATGGTAAATTTTGTAATACATTTATTGTAAAGAAGATATGTTAGATCTAAATAAAAATAAACTTACCCTTACTATAAAATGTAAACTATAAGTGAATTACAGCAAAAAAATATTGCTAGAAACACCATTTATATTGCTAGGGCAGCAATAGGCTGCTAACCAAACGAATATATTTGTTTTAGCAATGTATGTGGTAGTCTATATATGAAACATAAAATATATTTGCCCTAATTATTTTTTTATTTAACTTTAGTATATATTTCTTTCAGTGCACATAACAATAATATATCGGGCGCTAACAGACTCAATGCACATATATACATATGTGCATTTGTCCATGCCTTTTCCGGATATATCCGATAGAAATTTAAATTTATAGGAAATTACCTATAGGTACACTATAACTTCTACATTTCCCCTATTGACTCAATAGTATTGAGACCGATAGCAAATAACTCAAGGAAGGATATACAGTGTATAGGGATATCCCTATAGAGCAACCATAAAACATTTTACAAAATTTTGTTAAAACCTGTGGGGTCCTATGAGAGAAAAACTAATTTCTACATTTATGTGTATAGCAAATAAATCAAGGATGCATATCCTTATAGAAAAATTCCAACTATGGGTCCTATTCATACCGATACACCAATAGAAACACCATACAATAGATATAAAAATCTATCGGTTTGAACAGGGTCTCTATGTGAAATTTTAACCAGGGAAATACGTTTGCTGATTAACCTTATTGTCGAAAAAATACGGTCCTATGATGCCATGATATGAAATTGCGCACCACACATTAGCTTTGCCAAGTATTGTCCACCACTGCTGAGGCAAAACAGTGCCGTTAGTAGAAAATGTATCCTCGTCGGAATAATAATGTTTCGGTGGAAGTATTGATTATCCATGATATTAGCCCCTAACCACAAGCAAAAATCTAAACGCCTAGCTGAATCTCCAGGTTTCAATACATGGTGGAATATCGGCTTGTAGGGATGAAACTTAATTTCTTTTAAAATTCTCTGCAAAGGGGATTTGCTGATTCCCAGTTGCAACTCCATGGAGTGATCTCCTTCTCAAAGATAGTATGGGATTATTTTGTACTGAATCCATAACAAGAATAGTTGCGGCGTCATTTTCATCGTGAACGATCTTGTTTCGTTTTGCAACCACTACCGAACAAGTTTTCAAAAACTTTCTAACTAAATTTCGAGCAGCGTTAGTTGATACGTGAATATCTGGATATTTGTTATTGAATTCCTCTTCCATAGCTTTAGTGCTATGAAAGAGGAATTTAATGAGTATACTGTACCAAATAAATTCTGTGCTCCATCAACATTTCTTAACTAAACTGCGCACCACTCAATGTGTCGCGACCAAAAAGTTCGTCCTTTTTCAAAACGACATAACTTTTTTGTTTTTTGGACGATTTTATTTTGGTCTGTGATGTCTGCTAGCCACATCCTCTGGCAATTTATGCTATAAATACGAAGCTCACGGTTCTTCAAGTAAATTTTCTACAGGGTGATATGTTAAACGGTGAAAAATTTCAATAAATTCATCCAAGCCCCGTTTGAAAAAAAAAATATTTTTTCTCGTTTTTACTTTGAAATAATGAAGTATTATGTCTTACCTTGAAACGGTTTTCAAATTTTTCGAACTGGAATCTTAGCAACGCAAATATGATTTTTTTTTCAAAAGAGTAGATTTAAGGCTTTTTGGTAGACAATACACTCAGTCTTTTTAAGAACAAGAAGATAAGATGGTGAAAGAATGTTCCTTGAATAATTCTGAACAAGCGACAAGCAACAAATTTCCATTATTTTCAGAGGGGCCTAAGCAACGACCACTTTTTTAAAATGACATTTTGGTGAAAATTTGCAAAAACTAAACCGGAACCGATATTTACGTTCTTGACATGTTTTCTTTTATAATTTTGACCTCCTGATTGTGATTCAGTTGTCAAATTTAAGTTTCTGATAAAACCAAAATCACCAAGAATTAAAATTCGAAAACAATTCCCTGCTTTTAAATGTCTTAATAAAATCAGATTGATGGCGTGTTTCTAGCATATTTATGATTAAAATGCCATTTGGGGATTTATTTTTTGGGTCAAATTACTGCAATTTGTTTGAGTGGTTGGGATAATATTACATTTACATTGCGCACTAGTGATAAGTTATCACTGATAACTTATCACTGATAAGTACCTACCTAATTGTTAATAAAGTTAAATACAAATATTTTTGTTTATTTTTGAAAATTTTATGCGAAGTTATAATCATAATCAAAACTACAACATTCAACAAAAAAATGTAAACTTAAACAAACAATAAAAACTTTAAATCTTCTGCGAACCGTTGATTTGGAGATGTTAATTCCCGTAGCTGCAGAAAAGTCTGAAATTGGCATTTTATAAAAAATGATTATAATCATTTAAACTTTAAATGATTAAAATGCAAATGCCACCCTTTGCTGCAGCTACGGGAATTAACCTCTTCAAATCAACGGTAAATTTTAAAGGAAAAATGGAAGTAACCTGGGTAAGGGGTAGGCAAAACACAAGCAAACTGAAAAAATCAAGAATACCCTTATAATGAGTTTTGAATGTTTTTCAAGAACTAATTTTCATCATTTGATCCTCGATTTGATCATTTAGCGACATGATAATAACGTACTAAAGATGCAAAACACAGTAAAAACCAGCTATCGTATTTTATTGAGACATTTAACAGCCGGGAATTGTTTTTAAATCTTAATTATTGGTGATTTTGGTTTTATCTGAAACTTAAATTTGACAACTGAATCACAATCAGGTCAAAATTATGAAGAAAACATGCCACGAACGTAAATATCGGTTTAGGTTTTCGCAAATTTTTACCAAAATGTCATTTTGAAAAAGTGTTCCTTGCTTAGACCCTCTGAAAATAATGGAAATTTGTTGCTTGTCGCGAATTATTTAAGAAACAATCTTTCACCATCTTATCTTCTTGTTCCTAAAAGGACTGAGTGTATTGTCTACAAGACATAATACTTCAATATTTCAAAGTAATAACGAAAAAAAAAATATTTTTTTACAAACGGGGCTTGGATGAAGTTATTGAAATTTTTCACCGTTTAACATATCACCCTGTAGGAAATTTATTTGAAGAACCGTGAGCTTCATATCTATAACATGAATTGCCAGAGGATGAGGCTAGCAGACATCACAGGCCAAAATAAAATCGTTCAAGAAACAAAAAAGTTGTCGTTTTGAAAAAGAACGAACTTTTTGGTCGCGACACATTGAGTGGTGCGCAGTTTAGTTAAACCTAATATTGAGCCCTGAGTCGATTTGAACAATATTTTAATATTTAACGTCAACTAATCAAAAACCGTATCCATAGAAGCCTGTGACCGTAACCATAGAAGCGCATTATAATTTTTTAAACTTTAAAACATATTTTTATATTTTTCTATACATCTTTGAAAATGAGGGGAAATTGGTAAAAGTATAAACTGAATTAGCCATTTTAGAAGCAAAAACTTTTATAAAGAATGCATTTATCTCGAAAAATGAAAAAGTTTTGAGACATACAGTATAACAAAGATGATTTTAAGTTATGAAATTTTAAAAATTGTATCAAAGTCAAAATTACAACCTAAAAGTCTTCTAGCTCTAAAAAGTGTGCCAATGGTAACTTTTGATCAGTGGGTCATGTTCTATAGAACAATATAGGTACGTGAAATCGACCGGTAGCCATTTCCTATAGGATTAGTGCGGGTTCCGCAAAACACTTATTTCTAATAATTTTTCCTACTTTTCAAAACCCCAAAAAAATTTGCATACCTATGTCTAAGCATTCTTTGGGAAATGACATATTTCATGGTGATTTTTGTACAAAAAAAAAGATTAAATTTAATTTCAAAGAAAAATTAGGAAAAATCGTTAAGAATTACTTTTCTGACCTTTTTTGAATGATATACATGTATAAATATTCATATAATATAAATTTAAGTCGGCATTTCAGCTGTAAAAAACAGTATGGCCGACGGACATACATTTTTTCCTGTTTACATTAGCTAAGTTAAAATACATGTGGCATAAAAATCATGCAAAAGTGTCAGATGTAACTGTACATTACGTGTCCGTTATTTACCAAGTTGGCTGTTTTCACTTGGGTAATTTAAACACTTGCTCGCAAGCTCGCTCGTGCCTAAATTAAATTCGTGCTAAAATGGCGTTTATCAAACTTGATAAGTAATATACTCTATGAAATTTGTAACTTTGTTAAATAATAGCTATTATACCTAGGTATTATTATTTTGAAAAAATAAAATATGCTTACATTTGTATATAAATATAGACACCATATAATTAATATGGATACTATTAATATTATTATAAAAGTAATCTAAAAAAAATAAATAAGAAATTAATTTTACTATCTGCAATTATTATTAATTACTATTATTACTTACCACGTTAATCATTGTGACTGAATTATTTTTCCCAAAATAATCAGCTTTTATAGGTGTGTTTTATCAAATTTATATATTTATCCACAGATAAAATTGTAATAAACAAATAATTTATACACTTGAAAACATTTAAATTATAAAATTTCTAGGAAATACATTAATAAAATGTAATATATATACCTATTTACATAAGGGCCCAGTCACATTTTGGGCCCCTGTTTAAATATTTTTTTGTATTTAAAAATAGTTTTTTGTAATATTTTTAGTCTATAGTCTATTGTTTATTCTAATAAAATAAAGTCAGTCACTATCTTATTAAATTCTTCAGCATATCTCAGATGAATATTATGTTTTCCATCAGGAAATCTATGCAATCTAAAAAAAATACAAAACATTGTTATTAGGTCAAATAACAAAGCAATTTTTAGAAATATTTAGTAAAAAACCATTTCAGTGGTCCAATATCAAACCAAGCAAACTCCATTCGAGTATTTAAAGGGATCCCTTAAAAAAATCCTTATAAGTACTATAGGTATTATATAACTATATGGAACTTAGTACATTTTGCCCATGGGCAATTATATAATGTATGATGTTTTTACTCAATCTGGTATTTTCACGAAAATTTTGATAAATGTTGCTAATAAAAAATATTGCACTTGGCTGTGTTTGATATTAGACCCCCTGATTTATAATACTAAAACTTTCTATTAAGTAGAAAAGAAAATCGACCATTTTTTTAATCTATTAATATTTGTGCATAAAGTAAACTAAAATAATTAAAAAGTTGTGCTCTATTTTTTAACAAATAATTAATAGTCCAGTTTCTTCATTATAAAACAAGTAATCTTTACTTGGCCATTTTAATATTCTGAAACAAATATTCAGGGTGTTCAGGATGCACCATGGGGTCTTTATCCCCATGCAAAATTAACGTGGGGCATTTAATTTTTCCCAAATCCTCCTTGCAAATATTTCCCCCGTTTACAAAAATATTATGAACGGCGCCACACCAACCGCCCCACAAATCCTCAAGGCCTTTCTCAGTGTACAATTTTATCAATGGATTTTTCATCTTATCTGACCACTTAGTCAAATCTCGCATTTCTAAGAAATCAGTTATGTGACAGTATTATCTATAAACTTGAGATTTAAGTACTTACTTTCGTAAATTTTAATCTCCTCTGGCAAAATGTATGAATTCGACCCCCAAATGATTAATTTATCCACAATATCTGGATATTTTGCTGATAGAATCATGCTCGATATACCTCCATCACTCCAGCCTAATAAACTAGCTTTATTAACGTTTATAGCCTACAAAATAAAAAATATTAAACATTTTTCTGTACACGTGTATCTGGATGTTAAATAAATAAATAAATAAATAGATAATAAGGCCCAAATCAACCCAACCTTTAAAAACTTATAAGCCATATCGGCATCATCCCTATAAAAACTACTCGTAAAATTTCTATTGGGAGGGCGGCTACCTCCATATCCAGGGGGATCCCAGGCAATTACAGTGAATTTTTCCTTATCTAAGCCTTCAATTTGCGGCTTGAAATCGCTCCAAATCGTTCCTAAAGCCCCAGGAAAGCATAGCAGAGTTTTATCACCCGAACCACTTTTAATATAATTTATGGTTTTCCCATGAATTTTTACTTGTTTCTCCTGCATCGTCGAATAGCTTTTCGCTGCATTTGTTTTTTGAAGGTTCCTCCAAACGTTCATAAACAACATTTTTCAGCGAAATAATTTGCAAAGTAACGTAAACATAACCTAAAAATCATAAAATATCTTTATTTTGACAGAATTTGGTAATAATTGTTAAAAGTTATACGAAACAATTTTAATTGCGAAATAATTGTTTAAAGAATGTAATAAACCTTGTAGATAACGCTAATGAGTATTTTTATTGGTTGCTGATACCAATTTGAATTAATATCAGTTTTTAAATTTAAAAGTTCTTTATATAGGCAACAATATATACAAGAAAATTTGCGGGTTGCCTTATAACAATTTTTATTTTTCGCTAAATATTGCTAAATTTCGCATTTTGACCACGTTTTAAAATTTGTAATATTGAATTTAAATAAAAATAATTCGTTGGGAGTTGTCCATTATTTATTGCAAAAAATGTAAACAAATTTAAGTATCGACAGGGAAATTCCGTTTTATCGATTCGCAACTGTCACATATTGTGACAGTGACGTTTACATTGGAGGTTATGAGCTCCCTGCCAGTGTTGTTATTTTTCAGTTGCGCGTATAACATGGCGAGAGCGTTGTCTCGTCGGACTATACACTTAATTTGTGCGGTGTTTGTGGTGTTTAACAACTTGATCGGAGCTCTGTCCCAAGACGAGAGGGCCGCGTTCGTTGAGGATTTGATAGTGACGGGAAATAAAGATAGTTTAATTCATAATGAGGACTACAAGGAGGTTTATTTTGAAGTGCGCGGTGAAAACCTGCCTAAGCTCACCGAGATTAAGACGACGACGGTAAAATCCGAAAGGAATAGTTTCTGCGATAACTTAAAAATTACCGGGTACAATGTCAGTGAATTAAGTGAGAATAATTACAAAATTGTTGTGCCGAAGAGTGTTCACGGGGTTTTGTACGTTTGTTTACCCCGCACTGTTAAAAATAACGATGGTAAAATTCCCCCGAACCCTCTAGCAAGCGGGGTGAAGTGGTACCACCAGGGCCCCAGTGTCAAAATCGAAATCCCCAGGAGCAATGAGTAAGTTTAAGAAATGTTATGTAAACAATTGGTAATTTAATTACAGGCGCACGCGGTCTTATTAGACCCAATAAGTTAACTAATAGCTTTTAAATTGAATTACAAGCTACTAAACATTAAACAATCACAAGTTGTGATTCACAACACTCAATTATGACTTAATTAATTCGATAAAATACTTCTTCACATTGTGTTTTTTGTTAATAACCAGTCATCAGTGCTTCCCATTGATCTGGTTTGATCTGGTATTTTACTACTTAGACTGTTTTCACGTCTAATAACGTCATAGGTTTTTGGCTTTCGTTCAAATTCTCGCACCAGAATTAAATAATTTAAAATGTAAAAGTTAAGTTGCGATTATTGTCCATTTTAGCTTTTTTGTTGGACGATAGAGCCGCATGTAAATGTTTACATATTCAAGGTCGTTCCAAACGTGTTTAGTATGCAGAATAAATGAATTAAAGTTTAATAAATTGGTGATAAATTCGGAATTTTAAATACCTAACTATACTATACTATATATATACCTATATATAGGTATATACCTACCATAGTAGGTCAGCCAAATAAAATAATATGTCTTATTATATCTATGAGGGTTATTTCTCTTATCTATTCAAATCAATTAAATTCGTTTATTGGAAATCCTCTAGTTGTACTATAATGATATCCATAATACAAATTGTTCATTACAATACAAATTTTTAAGCAATAGAAATGCAAAGGTTTTTCAGAGATTACCAAAATTCAGATATTTTTTTAATAAAAAAATGCAACAACCTTGAAAACGAAGAGTTTCCTGAAACTATCCAATGGGAATTTTTTTCTTATTTTCATGCAAGAAATCTCAATCCAATTTTTTTGCAATATTAATGGAACGCCTGTAATAATTAAATAAAGTTAAATCAAAATTGGCCAAGTAAATTCTTATAAGTCTATAGACATTATTATAAGTCTATGGACATTTTAAAAATATTTTTTTTATTAAACACAATTTTGTTTTGTTTTTGCGAGTTTTATTTTTGCTGAGCATTTTTAAGTTAAAGCAAAATTTTGATTATTTAATAATTATTTTGTGGTGAAATCAGTACAATTCGATTTCCCAAGCAACTAAAAAGATATTTTTAAATAAAAAATATACTTTTTAATTCTTCTCAGGACTGTAATTTTTAATTTTGGCTGTTCTAAAAATTCCGACAAAGATTTAGGCAATGTTTGCATCTCGCTAACGTGTAAAATACAACTCGTATCCAGAGTTCGACTGATCTGGATGACTGCAATTTTTCCAGGTCCAGTCTGGAAGCCCTTAAGGGGCCATTTCAAATCAAATCCTACACATACATACTACAAATTCCTCTTTAACTCTGGCTTACTTCTACTACCAATTAACGTTAAATTTACGTTATGCCTGGTTAATCAATTTAATTAATATTGTACTAGGTATAACTTTAAATTAACGTTATTTTGTAATAAGTGGGGAATTCAATTATGGTAAAATTAACGTTATGTTATTTAAATTTAACTTCCTTACCTTTTGGTCGAAAAGAAGTTAATATTTGGTTGTTTTTGGTTTATTTTACCCTTTTTAACTACTTTTTAAGTCAACCTAAACTATAATTAACCAGTCTAAGGTTATTTTAACTCTTTATAATTATAATTTACCACATATGTGGTTATGTACATACGTATATCTACACTGAGAAAAACCAATGGTTATTTTTTTATACTGTTATGTTAACCATGTTTATATTGTAACAGTTATATTGTCACTTTAACTATATTTTTGTCGTTGCACAAAACAATAATTTATTTAGTTATAATAATCAAATATTGGCGTTAAGAAACTATTTAATACTTTTGTATTTTTGTATTGAGATAATAAAATAATTTTCACATTGAGTATTATTTTCGCTGTGGCTCCCGTCCCGAGGCGGGACCCAAGTTCAGTCCCGATTGACGTCATAATTTTAAGATTTGTTATGTTATAATAAAATAATAATAATAATAAATTGTACCTGTATACATGTTAAGGGCACTTTAGTTACGTCATAAAACCAAACCAACCCAAACTCAACAACACAACCCAACCGACCCCGCCCCATTGGGCCCCCCCCCCGCCCCATTGAGCAAAAAACCCAACTAAAATGGGCAAATTTATGTTACGACAAAAATAAAACACTTTTTAACAAAAAAACAACAAATTTATAAAATAAAAAAAATAAAAAAAGTTTGACAAATTCTAGTGGGATCGAACCCGGTACCTCTCGCATGCCAAGCGACCGCCCTACCATCTAAGCCATCGAGCTTGACACAAATTATAAAATCTCGGGGAATAAAAACGGATTTACAGTGTGTGACGTCAATCGGGACTGAACTCAAGTCCCGCCTCGGGACGGGAGCCACATCGTATTATTTTACAAGAAAGGCACTCTATTTAAACGATTTTATGACATTTGACAACTGTCAACTAAATTAATACTAACTTCATTCCGTGACTAAAAACTTGTTGCTAACTTTAGCCCATGACTAAAACGCCATAAAGCCACAACTTGTCAATGTGTATTTAAAAGGTCACTTAGTTTCATGGAAACATGTACAATAATGGGCGTTTTAAAGGTGGAAGTAGAAAAAATAATATTATATTTTATTAGTGGTTTGTTTAATTTACCGTATTTTTGCAATAAAACAAATTATTAAAATTAATGGCATTTCCTTTTGTTAGAATGGACAGCAAACAATATGACGATTTTAGGTTATATAACCAATATAAATTAACCTGCAAGTCTATTTTAAACCTTTTGGTTATTTTATTTTAATATAATTACTTTATTTACCTATCGGTAATCTTTAGCTCTTTGGTTTTGGTTTAAATTAGGTTTCACATTATAGTTAATAATTACCAAAATTAGTTAAATTCGGTTAAATTAAACTAACTTGTTATTTTTAAAATAACTAACCTAAAAAAACTCTTAAATAACCTTAATTTATCTATAGGTAGGTATCAAGAGTTTGAGTTAGAGATGCGACTTGAAAAAAAACGGTCCGTTTTTTTTGTTTTTTTTCAGGTTTTTTTTCATTGTTTTTTTTCAAATGTTTTTTTTTCACATTTTAGGTTTTTTTTAAGATTAGTCCCATTTGCCTAATTTTTAAGGTTTCATGGACTAAAATTAGCCACTAAATGACAATTAGTAAATGTAAATACAGTCTCGCGGTATGCACGCGCCACCACCACCGAATTGACCAATAAGGGCCGCGCTTGTTTTGATTTGGTCCTAAAAAAGTTACTACATAATATATATTATAATATTTTTGATTCAGCGCTTGATTTTTCAAAAAGCTACCAAAAGCACTTTTTTCATGATTTTTCAAATTCATGTAGAGTATGGATTTTTTTTTCAAAAAAACAATAGCAAATTCTTGTAAAACATTTATTCATTGGTGGTTAAGTCAGAACATTCCGTGGGCCAGAAAGCCAAAAAAAATCGATTTTTTTATTATGGTATTTTCGAGGGTATTTTTTAGGATTGAGCGTTGCACACAGTGCCGGTTTAAGTTAGTTCGCCGCCCGGTTCTGGCACAATCACAACGCCCAAGGCTTTAAAATATTACTTTTTTAAAAACATTTTTAAATTTTTAAGTCTTACTTTCTCACTTCAATTGGAAGATTAGGTTGGTTACGCTGGTATCTAACAGTAAACTTAGTATCCTATAAAATATAAAATGAGCCTTTATAAACAAATTATAAAAACTAATCAAAAGCACTAACTAAAAAATAAAACATTCTTTGGTTTATATAAACAATACTAAGTACTAAGAAAAACTAATTAAAAAATAAAAGTTTAATATTTTGTTTCATTAAACCAATAAAAACTAATCAAAAGTTATAAATAAATAAAACTTTATTCTTTGGTTTAAATAAATATTGAGAAATTCTAATATGTTTTCAAGTCTTTATAGTAGCAAATTGTTTTATAACACTTTACATTTATTTCATCTAGCAGGTCTTGATAAATGGACAGAATTGCTAAGGAGTTAAATCTTTCTTAGGG